CACACACTCTGCAGTCTCTTATTCTCTAAAACATGGTCATTTGTGGCCTTCTTTGTACATCACACTCTGTTGTATGAAGAAACTTCAATGGTGAGAGTTGGGGAACGTACTGGTATTCTCTCTAGCCCCTGTTCTACTATGAGCCTTAGGTGTAGAGGGTCCACTTAGGGCTATGATTTCTCAGACACATATTCCCTGTGTGTGACCAGTTGTGGAAATCTGTAATAGCCTCCATCTTTTGCAAAAGGAAGGTTTTTTTGATGAGTGGCACATGGTATATTTGTCTGTAAACATAAGGATCCACATTTAGCATACAGTAAGAAATTTCATTTGTATAGAGATAGGACAGAGATGGGGTTTTGTCAAGGATCTATGACCTCTCTAGCCATGTATTTACATGAGTTCTCTCCCACTAGAGGATTTTAAGTTCAAGTAGATAGCTGTTGATTACCCCCTACATAACAGTGCCAATACTGCACCAATAGAGATAGTTTGCTATGATAGTCATAGTGATCATTAGGCTTGACAGATGGGTTGGATCATTGATTGATTTTATCACTTAGCAGGTTACACAGTATCCTCTAAAACTACTATGAATTCAAATAAGGGGACACAAGGAAATTCTGACTGCTGTCTGAAGAGTCAGAAAAATAGCCCAAATGTACCAGTAAATACCAATGAGGCTTATCCTCCTTCCCCCCAGGATCAGCGGTGAGAATTTGGCAAAAGAGAGGCCACCATCCCATTAGAAATATCAGGCTGAAATAAAGCAATGATCTCAGTGCTGGGCTTGGAAGAGTGTATGACATCACTGGCAACTAGTTCCCATGGAAGAAGTAGAAAAACCATGTGTATAGGTTCTTTCAGGTCTTTGATATCTCAGTGAATAGAGTTTTTTAAAAAAGAAACGCTGCAAAGAGTTTACTTCCTTTTTCAAACAATGAGAGGCTTGAATTAAGTTATTTGTAGAATTTTAAGAATCAGTTCCACAAAGTCCCTACTCTAAAGTCCAGTAGGGAGATTGGCAAACCCGCAAGTCTACAAACCTCGGAGCAGCACAGGGCTGTGGGATCAGGGAGGAGAATCACTGTGATGCACAGCCATGGGACTTCAAGGAAGAACTGAATGATAATGAATGAAGTAGATGAAGGTATTGCAGGCTGCTAAAAGTTTAGTAGCCAAAACACTTACAGAATCAATTGCCCCAGATGTATAACCTTGTCAAGTGATGCTGGATGGAACCTGCTCAGCAGAAGCACCAAAGACAAATGATACTTTTCCTGGATTAGGATTTGGCAAAGTTGATAAAGAAGGCATAGCAGTCAAAGGCTCTAGTTATTTGTTTGGAAAAAGGTGAATGAATAAAGTAAAAAGGAAACAAAATTCCAAGAAATGGGGAGAAAACCAAGTGTGAACCACAGGGATGCTAGTTTTGTCCCTCTCAGGTCCTGGATCTGCTGGTACCCAGAAGGGAGCATAGCATTAGCCTCTGAGGGGTCTAAGATGGAGTTTAAATGTTCAGTGTCCCAAATTGATTTTATTGTATTTGTGTGGAGGAGAGAAGAGCGGAGTGTAAGAAGTCAATGTGCAATAGAACTCCAGAACCTCATCTACAGAAACCTACCACAAGAAGAATGAACTCAGACTGAATGAGGTTGAACAGGAATTTGGTAGACTGGGGCTTGGGAGTCTGAACTCAGCATGGAAGCATTCCTAGAATCTGCTCCCAGCTCAGCCTCTGGGTAGGGGGTTGGGAGGAGTAGGCAAGACTTAGAATTTTTGTAAGGCATGGAGGCTGCATTGGCACTTCTCTCATTGTGTGTATGATGAAGTCAAAATTGGCCTTTCATCACGGTAGACTACTCCTGAGTGTTAACATAATTAGAACTCTAGCTCTCTGGTGACAAGATTTAGAAGAGGCCAGGGGACCCAGTGTAGCAGAAATATACACAAAGAGAGAAAGTTTATACATTAACATCTGCATTATGTGTCCAAGGGTCAAAGGCACATCTCAAAAGGAGCATAGAGGTGGGCTGCATTCCTCAGTCTAAGGCAGAGAAAAGCCACTCTCTGATGAAGCAGAGGAATTCAAGTTTCTTAGCTTTGTGAAGTTGATTAAAAGATTTAACTCTTTGAGCTTGCTTCCTGAGGTCTGCTTGCCTACTTCAGTGAAGTAAATGAAAACTTGCATGCAAGCCTTTACCAGAAGGCCAGACTTCACACAAAGGGATTCTCTCCTCAATCCTTGTCTGATTCTTATGTTTGAATGACATTAGTTTTCCTTAGTGAAAGCACTCCTGAGCTCCTGTGGCAGACCTGACATTGCCTACCCAACATTATCACCACTTCTCCTTTTTTTGTTCAGTTATCCAATTCTTAGAGAATGTAATCCTTGAGATTTCATGGGCAAAATTGAAAAACCCGAGCCAAGCAATCCTGGTAATTCCACACCATTCCTGGCTTTCAGAAACAGACACATAGCCCTATTTTGACAAACAGCAGGTGAGAAAAAGTCTCACTGGAAACTTCTGTGAAAGATTGCCCTGCTCTTGAGAAAGAAACTCTCTATTGATTTTGGGGACTGTTGGAATTGCCTAACTAGAGACATTCCAATTATGAGATCATGACAGGGGCAGTTCTGGGGATAAAGTTGCTGTGGTAGGGACAGGAGGGAGAATAACGGAAACAGCTCACCATCTGACATTAATGTTGAATTCACCAGTTATAGGCTCCTGCCCTTGGGACTTCTTGACTTATGGAACAATAAATATCTTTATCATTTAAGAGATTTTAAATTGGGTTACTTATTAATGGCAGTCTCTCATGATAACCCCGATTTTTCCTCTCATTTTCTTTCATAGTATTTATCACACATATAGTTAGATTGGTGTTTACTTAATGTCTGCTTCTTTCACTGGATTATAGACTCTAAATTGATAAGATGAGGAGTTCATTTTGTTTATCATTGAATTTCTAGGAGAAAGCACTGGGCATTGGTGGTGGGGGCACTGCTGCTGAAAGTATTCTGAGGGCTCAAAAGCTGAAGAGTAAGCATTAGTGGTAGGTCCCCCCCCCCCGCCATCTCTTTTCCCTTCTCCTCCTAGGCTTCCTTCCCCACCTCCTCCTCTTTTCCATTGTCCTTTTCCTCCCCTCCTCCTCCTCTCCCTCCTCCTCCTCTCCCTCCACCTCCTCCTCCTCTCCCTCCCCTTCTCCTCCTCCTCCTCCTCTCCCTCCCCTTCTCCTTCTCCTCCTCCTCTCCCTCCCCTTCTCCTCCTAGGCTTTTTCCCTCTTCCTCTTTCCTTTTTTCCTCTTCCTCCTTTCTTCCTCTTCTCCTCTTTCTCCTTCTCTGGTTGTTTTTCCTGCTATCAATGCAGTTGACCTGCTAGAATAGTATCTGATTGCTAGGAAAGAACCTGAGTTTCCCCCCTTGAATTCTAGTTTATGGAATAATTGGGTGACTTCGGGTAGCAGCCTGTACCCAATCAGTGGTTTTCAAGCTTTTTTAAACCAGTGAACAGCAAGCAAGTACAAGGTGCCTGGTTGACCCAGTGCACTCAAACTGGACCAAAAGATTCAAGAGACACATTTAATCAGGAACTCACAGTTCAGAAGCACCCTAACAAGGGAATTGCAAGGGTGCTGAAAATCCTCAGCTTTGTTCCTGTTTGCTGGTAAACTGTTCACCATCAGTCCACTGACTTCAAATCCTTTATTACAGTGACTTCGTTATGATGTAATTATTTTCCCGTGGGATTTTCTTTTCCTGTAGAATTCTTCACTCCCATCTCCTCTGGTTAGGCTGGATTGGAGGCCAGCATGGAATTTACAGATTTGTGAAAAAGCGACTAAGCCTATCCCCCCCCCCCCCCCCCCCCCCCCCCCCCCCCCCCCCCCCCCCCCCCCCCCCCCCCCCCCCAGTTAGCAGAAAAACAAACAACTGTGTCCTTTCTTCTCTAAAACTTAATGGTCCCATTCAACAAGTTTACAGGAGCCTCATTCTGTAGGTTTATGTAGGTACTAGTGCATAGCTGCGCTCTACGTGAGTCCTCAGCCACCACGTGGTTTAAACCCCTAGGGAGACAGGTTCTAACTTTCTCTGGATGCAAAATGAAAAATAGATCCTCACTGTACTTCCTTCTCTGCACAGAAACTGCCCTTGTCCTTGTGGATTTGCTGGTGAAATTCCTCTGGGAGAGGGGAGAAAGGGGAAATAGCCACACCAGGATCTCACAACTCCAGAGCACAGCAAATAATATGGTGGGTGAATATATATTTATATTTAGAAAACCATAATGCATGCCTCAGGATACAACATGTGCTCAAAAGACGGGAGAGTATTAAATTACTTGCCCGAATGACCAAGAAAGCTCCCTGCTAAAGCCTTACATGTAGATTCTGGAGGTTTTAGCTCCGCCTCTGAAACTCTTTTCAGTTACTGTCCTGAGCACGTTATCTCGTACACTGGCAGACTAGATGCGAGTGAGGGCTCCAGAGTCCGGGAAGAGCGCGTGGCCGAGCAGCCCCGGAGTCACGTGTCTTCTAGAAGGGCACCACTGTGACACCCCGGAGCACCTTCTGGATGAGTGAGCCTGTTTGCACTCTGGGAGGGAAGGCGAGATGGAGAGTCTGCAATGAACCAGGCTAGAGGCGCAGGGATGGGGAGGGAAGGACGAATACCCTCAACTTTCCTCTCCTCTCGTCCCACACGCTTGAAATAGAAATAATAGCACAAAGCGAACAATAACCGCTTGCACGCACAATGTTCTCGCCCTATTTAAGTTGCCTCACGTTAGAGGTACGGGTATAAAGTGCACAGTGCCGCTGTCGCCGCAGGCCGGGCTGGGGAGTAAAGGTTCGCGCCGGTGCGGGTGATCCCACCTCCTGAGCAGCAGACTCTCCCACGCCACTGCGGGCTGACCCCCGCCCTTCCCCGTCCCTCCACTCCCCGGTGCTCCCTCCTCCTCCCTCCGGCGCGCCTCCTCTAGCACCGGCCCCCGCCGACCAGCGAGACGGCAGCACCCACGTCGCCGCAGCTCCTGCCCGCAGCGCGTTGGCCGCGTCTCCGGCTCCCACGCAGCGCGAGCTACGCCGCTGGCAGCCCGGGCCCGGTGCACCGAGCGCACGGCGCAGCCGGGCTGAGCTGAGCTTCGAGGGGCTCGGGTGCCGCAGGCTAGGGCAGCAGGGTGTAGGAGAAGAAGCCGAGACGCTGCGGCGGCCGAGCGAGGGTACGAGCTGCGCACCTGGAAAGTTACCCGGCTGGCTGGTGAGGCTAGCGGGCTCGTGGGGCACGGGCACTCCCGGGGCGCGCGGGGAGGGACAGGAGCGGGGACACGCGGGTTCCAGCGGGGCGTGCGTTGTGCGGCACGCGCCTGTTCAACACCCGGCGGGTCTCTAGAGCTGCTTGCGTGTGGATGTGTGCACGCGTTGCGTTCTGTAGGTGTGGAGTCGTTGGCTCCATGCAGCAGCTCCTTTTGGAGCGCAGTGTGGCAGCAAAACCCTTTGGTACCGCTGGGACTAGGAGCTTGGCAGTGATGCCAGAGTATGCTATCAGGGCTTTGCTTCTCCAAGGTTTAGAGGGCAGTTGGGGGAGCAAACAGCCAGGCAAGGACTTTTACAAGTCGTTGTAAACTTGTGTGGATCTCCTATGTCACTCAGCACCAGCACCGTGAGTCGCGTCCACATTTTTGCATTTCTGGTGATGAAGGAACAAGAGTAAAGGAAGGAAAGCAAGAAACCAGCCGCTTTGAGGATGAGAGAAAAAGAAACGGGTTCAAGTACGAGGTTGAGAACTGAATGCGAAAGCACGGCTCTCCAGGGCAGAGCCCTAGAACAGAAGCAGACAGAATAAGGAAGGATGCTGCTCAGACAGACGCCTTGCTTTAAGCCATATCTTGTTCCCAAAGTTCCGCCGCAGCGGGAGGCGGCATTTTTTCTTAAATAAAAGAATAGCAAAACATACACCTGCTCCCTGCCACACCCCCATACACAGAGTGCCTTAGAAACGGTCTCTTTTCTTCGCAAGTGTCTATTTAGCTCTTGGAGAAGGCGATCGTCCTACATAATATACAGCAGCTGCTCATGTTCCTGTTGGGTTTTTCACAGGGGGTATGAGGTGATAGGGTGGAGAATTCTTTCTGGAGAATCAGAGCCTGTCCTCTCCATCTCAACATAGTGTAAGTAAGAATAAACAACGTGCGACAAGGACGCCGGTGAATCTGCCTCTTTTACATGCGATCCTTTATTCCAGTTTTCTGAATTCACAAGAGACAGCCACTAATGGCAACTCGCCTCATAGTGAAGGCTTAAGTTGCTTAAGTGTGGCCCAAGTTCTGTGATTCCCGTATTGTCTGTTTCCCCTATGCTCTTTTCCTACCAAATATCATGTCTTCTCTTACGGTTTCATTTTCTCCATCTTTCTTATCTCATTGTCCTGGCCTTACAAATCCTCTTATTTCCACTATTCTAAAATTCATGTTCCATTATGCCTCCTGAAGTCTCAACTCTGGCATCAACTCTTTCTGTTGTAATTGACTCTCTGTATTCTCACTCTCTGAGAAGGCTAACCTTTGTGCTTCTCCCTCTGATCTCATTTCCTTTGACTTGTCTGAGATTTGAGCTGCACCTGCTCATCACCTCTTGACAATTTCTTTCCACGGCCTCTACTGTAATCTCTTAGATCTCTTATCTGTACAGCTTTTCCTTCCCTCTTTTCTGTTGTTTGCTTCTCCTCCTCTTCCACAAGTAACATTTTCACAGGTCGGACATAGGGCCACACAGCAATGCAGGCTCTGTTTTGTTTTCTGCCTTGGTGGTCTCATCTATTAATGTGAATTCAAGCCTCACCTCTGCAAAACTTGACTTGCCTTTTCTTCTTTGCATCTTGGTAGACAGTTTCATCTCGATCACCCACAGGCACCTCAAACTCAGTATATTTTAAGTCCGGACTCATTACTGTCTCCACAGGTATTTGAATTTTCCTGTCTTCTGTCAGTGTCACTATAGATGATGCTCCACTGGGTGCCTTTGAAATAGTGAATAAGTGATGCAGAACAGAAACATTACCTCCCTTCAGCTGTCCAAGGCCAAAACATGGATGACTGTGCCCCATTGCCTCTCAGGTGCACACCCATTTAGTTACTGCACTAGAGACCATTCCCTGATTTTGATATTTATACATCCATTTTTCTGAATATTAAACCTTCTATATTCCCTCTCACATTAGCAAATAGCTTCCTATACTTCTAGTCTTCTTTCCAAGCTCACATTTCGATTTAGAAACTTTTCCTCATGTCATCAGTAATCACCAGGAAACTTCTTCAGCTTCCATTTATTTGCCAATTGTTGCTACATGCCTCAGTGTATCCCTTTCATTGGACTTCCCGGTTCCTTATTTATTAGTGCTTGCTGAACTTCCGTATCTAACATTGCCTCCGTTCTCTCATATTGAACAAAATGAACCTGGTTCTGAATCTTGAGGATCTGCTTCTCATTTTGGCTATGGTACCACTTCTTATCCAGTTTCCAGAATTCAGACTTGAAATCTTACTCTTTCTTCCCCATCATCATTCAAATTCCATCAGCTTTAATGTTCAGAAATACGCATACCAACCGACATTTCTGTATGTGTTTTGTTTATCTCTTCATATAGTACCCCCACCCCAGAAGAGAGCTGAATGGAATGCTGTTGAATTTTGCAGTCAAAATATAGGACACATAGTGTGCTGGTTGGTTTTTGCCACTTTGGTACAAGCTACAGACTCTTGGGAAGAAAGTACTTCAACTGAGGAAGTTCCTCTCTTTGAGTGGCTTGTGGCCATGTCTGTGGGGCATTTTCTTAATTGGTAATTGACACAGGAAGGCCCAGTCCACTGTGGATAGTACCATTCCTAGTCAGAGGGGCCTAGTTTGTATAAGGAGGCTAACTGAGCAAACCTGGGGAAGCAAACCTGTAAATAGCATTCTTCCATGGTCTGTACTTCAGCTCCTCCCTCTGGGTTCCTCCCTTGAGTTCCTGCCCTGACTTTTCCCAGTGATGGCTCTCACTTGGAAGTATATAATGCAATAAATCCTTTCCTTCCCAAGTTGTTTTTGACCAGAGTGGTTTATCACAGCAATTGAAAGCAAAGTAGGCCAGGTAGTATTCATAAAATTCACTATGCCAATTTTGTTGGGGGAGGGGTCCTCCACACATAACCTTGATGGTAACTGGAACTTTGATACAATAAGCTCATATGGCTTTGAGTCAAGGGAAAATCACTCTCAAAATCAAGATGTTGTGGATAGATGAAACAAGCAGTAGATTGGAAACTGAGCCTCAGGTCTACTGCCACAAGGTCCAGTGGGAAGATGCTTTTAATTGTGACATAGATATGAGATTTAGCTATTTCTTGCTGGGACAACTCTGAGGTTTGCTTCAGAGAGAAGAAGCCGGGAATTAGATATTCAGTGATGGTTATTTTCTAAAACAGCTATGGAGACACAAGCTAATAGTGACATGATAGAGAAATGCATCAGTTTCATAGAAGTGACTTTATATAGTGAAGCCTATATAAAGCCCCCTCCTAATATTTCAAGCTAAACTGCCATATGATAAAAAAGAATCATTCTGTTTTTCATGATTTATTGAAGGAAAGGAAATTGCAGAGTTACCTATAACCGTAACTTCTGTGAAATCCTCTATGGTAATGTTTTCCTTTTGGTTACCATGGAGACATTCTGTATGTTCTTCTAGTTCAAGAAGTTAGAGTTATTAGCATAGGTTTGGAAGTCTGGGCTTAAATCTCCTACTATCAATTCTTACTTGGATTGGTGCAGTCTCCTTATTTTGTTTTACTTCCCTAAGCATTTTTCACCCAGTTCCAAAGTTATTCCAGGAAAATTGTCTTTCTAAAGGACAGATATGACTCTACAGCTTGAAAAAGAACTTGGCTTGCATTAAAATCTAGATACCATAATAAGGCATATATGACCATTTTTGGTTTCTTACTCCAGTTTCTTACAGTTTCAGCTTCATTGCTCACCATTTTCCTCCCCCTCCCCGTTATACATTTAGCTTTCTTTCTCAGTGCACTGTAAGTCTTCCTGCATTTGTTTAATGCACATTCTTCTTCCTGATTTATAAACTTTTTACTTTAGAGTAGTTTTAGGGTTACAGAAAATTCAGCTCAAATTACAGTTCCTATATATGACCCCACCAGTTTTTTTTTGTTCTTAACATCTTTTTATAAAAATAAAAAATTATAAAAATAAGCTCCTTCCCCTTTGACCCGCTCCCATAACCGCCCCCCACTGAAGTTCATACATTCTGTCCTTTGTGCTAAGGCCTATCATGTAAAGTAGGTGTCCTTAGATGTCCCTCAGTGAGAGTTCATCTGCTGGGATCTAGTCAGCCTATCTAGAGTCCCTCCCTTTAAGAAGAGCAGCAGATTCTCACTCAGCAGTATTCAGCTGCCAATAATTCTTCGACTCAGATTGGGGCCTGCTGTTCATTTCCACAGTTCTGTGCTGGAGTTTTTTCTGCTTACATCTACATGGGTCTTTTACATGCTGATATCATTGCTATAGGTTCATATGAGAAGGGTCCCAGGTACGTGTAAGTCTCTATTTTCATAAGGTCATGCACCTCCTCCTTGGCTCTTAGTATCTTTTTGCCCCCTCTTCCAACATAGTCCCTGAGACCTGGGTGGGTATTTTAATACAGGAGTCCTGTCCAAGGACTCATACTCTGCCGATTCTTAGTCTCTGCGTTTTGGCTATTTGTAATCTTTTGTGTTCCTGGCCTTCTGTTGCATGAGGGAATTCATTGATGACAGTTGAAAGAAGCATTAGTGTTCTTTACATCCCTTGTTCTATGTTCCGTGAGTCTTGGGTAGAGATTGCATCCTAGATGTACCACTTAGACAATCTCTATGTGTGACCAGTTGTGGAACTCTGTAATTATCTCTGTCTCTTGAAAAAGAAGGTTTTTTGATGGATGGTGACTGGGATACTTGTCTATAAATTTAAGGATCTATATTTTGCACATAGTAAAATATTATATTTTTCTAGGGATGTGGCAGCCTTGGGGTTTTCTCTAAGATCTATGGCCTCTCCAGCCATGTGTATTTGTCTAGGTTTGCAGTACCACATGCGTTTCCTCCCATTGAGTGGGCTTTAAGTGCAATTATGGTAGCTGTTGATTAGTTCCAAGGTAAAAGTGCCACTACTGCACCAATGTCATTTTCTGTGCTGGTCATTGATGTAGTTTTTAGGCCTTGAAGCTGG